TAAAGTAGAAGATAAGCCCAACACAAATATTTTAAAATATTTCACTAAAGATCCAAAAAATATTTTCCGCTCCCATTAGTGAGAACAATGGGACAGAAAATGCTTTATTATTTTAAAAAATCTTTTGTCTTATATTTGGTATCTTTCAATAATTCCAAATAATTATTTTTTAATTCCTTCTGATTATGGACAGGTCTATGTTGAAGTTCAGCTGATAAATTACCATCTTCCTTGACATCAATTAACTGTCTATGAAGACAAATCAGAAGGTATTGCATTTTTATATTTTTAACAAGTAAGTTTAAAGAAAAATCCATTAAAGATGAGTTAGTTTATCACTCATTGTTAAAACATCACCTTTACTTTGAAGGAGTGTCCCTGGGTGGCACAAACAGTTAAGTATCTGACTATTAACCAAAAGGTTAGCGGTTTGAACACACCCAGAGGTGCCTCAGAAGAAAGGCCTGGTGATCTGTTTCCAAAAGGTCACAGCCTTGAAAACCTTGTGGCACACAGTTCTACTCTGAAATATATGGGGTCACTATTAGTCAGAATCAACTCAACAGGAACTGGTTTGTTGTTTTTTGTTTGTTACTTTGGAGGACTGAATAATATACTGACGTGCTTGAAACTATCTGCCATCACAGGAAAGGCTCAGCAAATCTGGGACACTTTTATATTAGTAAAAGAAAAAAAATGTGTAATTCTGTATGAGATAGACAGTGGTTCAAGGGATTTTTGTGATCACTCCTCATCTCATTACAAAGTATTATATGGATTCTCCCTTTTAAAAGGCTTGCTTCATTAAATTAACCATACTGGTAATACCCTGTGGTATAGAACATGAACAGTGCACTAACGACACACAAATCAAGGTGAAACTGTTGACCCCTCTGGCTTGTGGGATGCTCAAGAGTCTCTCCAGAGGCCTCCCCTAGACACTGTCAGTAGCCACATGGGACACGGCCTGAGAGGCAGCAAATACTCACAAGTCATAGTTTCTTTCTGGATTTCTCAGATGAAAAAACAACTAACAGTTTCTTTCCATATACCAATGGGTCATACTGAGCATATCCAAGTATTCATAATAGTGCACCCCAGTATTTAAGACAGCAACAGCCCATGGTCAGTGTGCACTGAGGCACCCAGGGAAGCAGTGACAAACTCACAGGGGCACCACAGGATATTTTAAAGTTGAGAGAGAGACAGCAATACTCAACAACTGTTAGACGCTACATAAACTACTAAATCAACATTAAACCATACTACATTTCTTTTGATGACATCTGTCTTTGCAAAGCTAGGTTTCCAGCAACTGCTGTGATAAAAAGCAAGTACTCTGTGAAAATCACTGTGGAGAAGGAAATGAGGTGGTGGTCTGAGAAGCCGAGCAGTGCCTGCTAGGCACCCACATTCCATTAGTAAATAAGGATATTTACAAATAAAATAAAAACACATTTTCTTTCAATTTATATGTATTATTTTTTCAAACAGTTACTAGGTTGTTAGGACATAAAAACTGAAGTTGTTTGGACCTAACTCCTTAACAAAAAAACAGTTAAGGGGCACTGAGAAAAAGTTATGGAGCCCGTACAAGTCCCGTGAACTGACTGTCCATGGTGATGGCAGGTGGAGAACTGGAAAAACACGGGACTGAAACCAAGAGAGCTGTATTCCAGCTACACTCTGCCATCAACTCCCTAAAACTCTTTAAGTTTACTAAGCTTGGGCAAATCAAACGCATGATGGGACAGATACTCGCAGGGGCCCCCAGCCCCCATGCTCTGCAAGTCTGTTTTTATTGTTGGGTGCTGTTGAGTTGATTCCAACTCATAGCGACCCCATATGACAGAGTAGAACTGCTCAGTAGGGTTTTCTTGGCAGGTCTTTCTCCCGCAGAGGCACTGGGTGGGTTCAAACCGCCAATCTTTCTGTTAGTAGCTGAGCGCTTAACCATTGTGCCATCAAGGCTCCTTTCTACAAGTCTACTTAGACCTAGATAAAGCATTTGCTTTTACCCTCCCCAAGTGGACTCTCCTGTCCATCCTGAGGGGCGACAAGTCCTTGAGAAACTCATAACTCTCCCTGCTGCACCAGATGCTGAGAAGGGGAACAGAGGGCCTGCCTTCGCTGATGCTCAAAAGGCTGATGCTAATGTGGCTTACTCATCTGACCAAAAGAATGAGGGTTAATTTACGGAAACGCTTCACTTCAGAATCCACAAATGTCACAGGAAGTATCATCACCCAAATGGCCCATTTCATGTCCTTTTGGAATTTTTTAGAGTATCAAATAGGTTGCCTTGTTTACAAAACCACACTATCCCTGATAAGTTGTACTAGTTCCTAAATACTTGGTTAACTACATATGTTAAATACTCTGAAGAAACCATTTGAGAATTCTTTGAGAAATTAAACAATCCTTTCAATGAGAAAAGCATATTTTATAAGTTTCCAACAATGACTGGCTTAAAATGTAGTGTATTTGTGCATATATAAGATTTCCTCAACAATTCTATTTCAACTTTTTTAAGTGCCTTTTGGGCATGGTCTAAGACAACAGGGAGCCCAATCATTTCCAAGGAGGAGTTCATTCTTGGGTTGTTTCTTTCAAAGCCTTCTACTAACAGGGTTTTACTCTAGCTTGCATGCATAAATCTTAAATCCAATGGAAGAAATCATGGAGTTTCTTGCTACGGTAAGAAAATTATTAATAACAAGGCATAGGAAACTCTTCTTTCCTCATTCAATTTCACAAACTGACCTAATAAGAATCAATAAATTCACTTATCTGACCCTATATTCTTACTTTCTAGGCTACCACAAGATTTAAGCTCAAAGTAGCATTTTATTTCAGGAAACAATCAGTACACATAATGCTGTAATAGTCACACAAGCTGAATAAACCTAAGGACAAAAAAAGCCACTACTCTTATTACTGACAGAAGTGCAAATACACAAATCCTAAATACCAACAGAAACAGGTACAGATATTACCAAAAAAGATGGGATAAGGAATATTGAAATTTATTCTAGAATGATTTTTAAATAACGCTCTCCATTAAAACAGTGCCATGGTGGTGGGAGAGGTACTCTGATTTAAAGAGAACAAATTTTATCTCAAAGCACTGAACCTTTTTAAAAAGACATGAAACAGGAAAAAAAGGGACAGCTGGAATCAGGGGGATAGAGGGGAGACCATTTGGGTGGCCGTAGGCTGAGAAAGAATGAAGGGGGGGTACCAAGTGAATTAAGCTCCAGAGACCCTGAGGAGAAGGAGGGAAAGAGTCAGTATGAGTGTTTAAAAGACTCTTATATTTAAGGCTTTCTTTTTTTTTACTAGACATATATGAAACAGCATATGAAATATATGAGACAGCAAAAGTAAAGTGTAAATGCACGATATCTACAGGAAAACATTCTCTGCAGCTGACACGAAAAACTAGCCTGTACTGGGGGCTTCCTGTCCCTCCTCCCCAAGAGCTTAAGGGTGTAATTCTTAACCAGAAATGCTACCAGCATAGTGTTCAAACATCAGTGTGCACCTCAGAAACACACCCACGTCCTGGCTGAAACAGGGGTCAGCTACTTGTCTTAAGCAAAGGAGGGGGGAAAAGATGCCTGCATAAACTCCTGAAGACCATCAATCGTCATTGAGTGGACTCTGACTCATGGAGACCCTATGTGTGTCAGAGTAAAACTGTGCCCCACAGGATTTTCAATGGCTGATTTTTTGGAAGTAGGTTGCTAGGTCTTCCTTCCGGGGCGCCTTCAGGTGGACTCGAACCTCCAACCTTTCGGTAAGCAGCCAAGCATGTTTACTGTTTGTACCCCTAAAACAAAAAAAACTCAAACCCATTGCCGTTGGGTCAATTCCAACTCATGGCAGCCCCATGTGTTACAGGGTACAAGTGTGCTCCATAGAGTTTTCTTGGCTCTACTCTTTATGAAAGCAGATAGCCAAGACTTTCTTCCACAGAGCCACCGTGTGGGTTCGAACCTCCAACCTTCAGGTTGGTCATCGAGTACATACCATTTGCGTTATCCAGGGACTCCAAAAACTCCTAAAGGCCTCTGGAAAGCAAACCTTTGCAGAACAGATGTCTGTCCAAAAGATTGCACTTAACTGCTTACTGTGGTTCTCAAAAAACAAGTTTCTACTTTGTCTTAGAACTTAGGCTGGACAAGGAAACACACAAGGGAGATCCTTCATGATGCTAGGGAGGCACTGGCACACCAGGTTAAGCCGGCCAGGTCAGACTTCTATTTCAGATAGTTAAGTCTGTGTGATCAGCCTGATATAACCCTCCACATCCTGGAGGGATGGAAAAGCCAGCTAGGATAATTCAGTGAATTCATCTGACAGAAGCTATAACAGAACATTTACTCACTAGCATACACTTTCTTCAAAGGATTTTATTTCTTGCTGTGGCTTAAGTCCCCCGTGACCTCTTAACCAGCAACATGGACATGTGCCAGTGTTATCCCTCTTCCAATCACCTACCTGCTCTCAAAATGTCCCGTTCTCACTCCCTATTCTCAGGTCTACAGCTCTCAAACACTATAAGGCATAGCTGTTGTTTATGCGCATACACTTTAAGCTTTCAACCAAGTTTGCTGGCTCTCCTCCCTAGTATGGTTTAAAATTACCAAGAGCGGTCATTCCATAAACTAACACTACTTATTAACCACCTACACGACACATGCTACTTTGCTTAAATTAAGTACTTTGGAATTTATCAGTTTAAAGAAAGCATCCAAACAAATTAGGTTTTTCACTAATAACACGTAGCAGCATCGTTTTTAACCATTAAAATCTATGGGCAACTGGAGGCAAAAACAGGGGAGACTATGGTATGATCTTTCTTGAGGTTGACACTGAAGGTCAGGTAAACAGCTTCCTGTGCAGAAAAATAAGAGCTTTAAAAGGGAAGGAGGGTGGAGGTGATGGCATGAACATCCTTTTGCCCTGATTATACACAACTTCGCATAAAAACTTACTTGCCAATATTTTCAGGCAGTGACTGCAGTGAGATGTCATTTACAGAAAGACATGTTAAATTCTGTAATTCAGGAAAGCTCTCTGGCAATCTAAAACAGAAAATGTTGTTAATTAAAACAGAAGTGCTGTATGGGTGTGCACTAAGCATAAATACAATTTCTTCTACAAGCTAATTGAAATAACCTCCTGAAATGACATTATATATGGCAAGTTTGCCTGTTTTCCTATATATAAAAAACACTTATAAGAAAAGACAAGGACTTGGTCTACCTGAGTACAGAAGTAGAATAAATACTTGTTGATAGGGTGACCAGAAATAATTAGAGGAAAGACATGCAAACTCTAAGGATAAAGGGGGAAAAATGTTGAGATCACTGAGTGTTCTATGAAAGAAAATTAGAAATCAATGCTGCAGCTAAAATGCCTAAGAGTGAAAATACTTTACTGATTAGCAGAAAAGAAAGAGAAAATTCAGTCAGCTCAACAAGATTATAATAAAACACGGGGCAACTGCTCAAGAATTTTTCTTCCTATAACTTTTAATATCCACAGCAAAGCTATGGATTACTTAAGAGTTGATCGGTTGACAACCAATTGCTACTTTTCTTGATTTATTTCTTTGAATTTGATTTAAGATGCCAATCACTTGAGACAATTATATATTTCACTGTGTTCTACACAAAGGGAAAATTTTTTTACCTCCTTTAAACGACAGAAGAGCAAGATTTCAAAATAATATCACTCTATTATTTTAAAACTTACCAGGAAAGTTTAGTTTCAATATTTCTATGGTTACCAGAATTTAGGAAGGGAAAAAAAAAAACTAACAAGGCAAAAAGATTTCACTGTGTATAAAATGCTGAAGGTCCTTATATGTAAATATAGACAGTAGAACATATAATTGTATTTTTTTTTCCCAGAGGGGGAGAGACTTCTGGCTTTAGTAACAGTCTCCAGATTAGAATCTTTCATTTCTTTTCTCTGTTTCTTCTTTTGAAAACAAATCCTATGTTACTGTTTGCCATTTAATATAGGCAATTCCAAAATTCAAAACCAAATCCAGGCCTGCAGGATGACAGTATTAACTGGAATTTTCACAATCATTAAAATACATTCTCAGAAACAGTTTTTACAAAGTGGAAACCTCTTCTGTAGCATAGCAGAGTTGAAATGTTTGCCTGTAATTAAAAAGATGTAATTTATCTGTTCTGCCTAGGTTGTTGGGTTTTTTTAACCAGAAGGTATATATCATTTTATAATTTTAAAACTAGCTAAAATGTTTTTAAACATTAATAAAATGTATTTTTTAATGGCTGACATGCTTTTTTACTGGCTGTTAACATTAAGAGCCAAACTAGTAGGATGCGATGGGAAAGCACAGACCAAAGTTTAGGAGAAATGAGTTCGAATCCAAACTTGCCGCTCACTGGCCACAAGACCTCGAAAGGTCATTTAGCTTGTTTGAACCTAAGTTTCTTCAGCTATAAAACATGTAGGCCACACCAAATGACTTCTAAGGCCCCTTCAACTCACAGATACTGTGTTTTAATTCATAAAGTAGAGCACCCACCAAATTAAGCTGGCTTTACTTTAAGTAACCTGTCAAAATAAATAGGCCAGGGTAAAAAAAAAGAGTAAAGCCTCATACAATGTGGGTGTGTTCCAATCAGGAAAGTTCTGATATAATGGTAAATCCCAATGTCAGCGGACATTAGAAAAGGAAAGTAAAGAAACAGAAAAGGAGATTAAGTGATCAATGGTTAAAAGAAAAAAAAAAAAAATCAAGTGTAGCATGATAAACACTTTCCAGCTTACCTAACCCCGTAAGCTGCCTTGAAGATGAATAGCTTAGTTCAGTTCAACAGGCATTTAGTGAGCACTTACTACATTCCAGGAATTGTGGTACGGTTGGAGGTACAACAATGAAAAATAGAGGGATGAAAGAACTTTCCCAGTCTAGCTGAGGAGTGTAGTCAAAGTGATCACGTAAGTGTAAATTTCAAGTGTTGTGACAAAAGTTCACACAGAGCATATGGAAGCGGGGGAGGGGGCGGCGAGGGGGGAGGGGAGGCAGTGGGGAGTTATCAGGAAAGACTTCCAGGAGAAAGGTAATGCTTGAGTGGCATTTTAAAGGAGTGAGGGGGTTGTCATGGTGAGGAAGGGAGGGGTGAAACCTATGAGCGCTCTATTACAGCACAGTGTGATAGCTGACATATCTGATGAGCAAGGAGGGTGGAAAGCTAGGTCAAGGTCAGATCAGGAAGGGCCTGGTATGGCACACTGAGGAGCTCCAACTATATTACAGGGAAAAGGAGAGGGAGATACAGAAAGGTTTTAAGAAAGGAGACAACCGTATGGAAGACAGTTAAGACAAGGGGCAAGACTCGAGGACAGTGATGCACTAGAACTTACAAAGCTATTTAAATTGTAGGTTAGAACTTTTTTTCAGTAATAAATGTTATTAATAACTAAAATTCAAAAAAGGAAAACCAGAAGTACTTATAAAACATATTTACTTCTTAAAAAGAAACAGATGTGGGAAAAACAAAACAAGACAAAACTGGGCATTCCCCAGATACACCCAAGCAGTCCCAAGCAATTCTGAAATCGGTGAGAGATGAATTTTAATTCAGTCTTAATTTGCCTAGATCCCTCCCCCCTTGCAAAGAGGGGAGGGAAGAAAAGGGAAAGGGAGCAAAAACAGAAAAGCATAATTTTTTCTGAGATTACTTACAGAGTCTTCAGATGTCTTAGAATGGACACACCTGGCCCAAAAAAACTCTAAAACAGACTTCAAGGGCTGTCTTTGCACTGCTGTGTGGGTAACAATTCAGTTATCCTGGCAATAAAGGTGCCTGGAAGCCAGTGGTCAATGGGCTCCTAACTAAGCCAGGAGCCATAGGAGGGTCTCAGGACAGTGCCACACAGCCATGCCCAGGCAATGATAGCCATGTCACACCAGGAAGGGCAAAGCTGGAGTCAGTAGTAAAACAGTGACAGGTAGCTTTAGTTGGAAAGATGAACCCCGCAAAATCCCCAATGCTATTGCTAAAGTAACGAAATAATGGTGTCAACAGAGTTTAAAAAAGGAGAGGAGGGGTAGAGGAAAGTTGAAATGGTAAATAAATATGCTTCATTACTGGAGTGGAAAATACTATCTCTAACAGGACTTTTCCTTGGATAACTATGGTGTAAGCTCTCTGGGAGTTTAGAATTCAGTCTTACCTCTTGCAGACCCCACAGGACAGGATTGATAAATAGGGGTCTTATAAACTAATTTGTTATAGTGCTTCAGAAATGCTTCCTATTGTATACTTCACTGTGCCTCCCCCTAGTCCTCTATAGCATCACTTCAATATTACTATCAATAGCACTGTGTGCCTTTCATTGTCAACATCTGGTACAGTGCTATTTATAATTATCTGTGAAAGTCAACAGTCCTTGATAAAGACAAAAATTTCCAAATGATCCATCTAAGTACTTCCAAGATGGCAAATGTGGTTGTGTTCTTGGCTTGGTGCTCAAAAAAAGATATCCTTGGTACTACAGAAGAGAAAAATAAGTAGAAATGTTACCTAGTCAGTGGGTTTCCGCTGAAGTCAGCTATCTGCAGTGCTTTACAGAATGAGATGCTTTCCGGAATTTCAGGAATATCTGTAGGAGTAAAGAAAACTTCTATCATCTACCACCGTTGTTAAGCGTTTTCATTAACCTCAAGATGGACCACGGTCAAAGAGAATATTTGGAAATTACTTCTTCCATTCAAATGTATTTATGGATTTATAAAGTATTTTCCTACATTTATTTTACATGTACTTTCATAATAGAAGTTATATCCCTAATAGATGCACATTAAAGAAAAATATATCAAAAACAAAAAAACACCCAAGTCCCAACATCCTACCAAAAGTCACTGATGGCATTCTGTTTTAATTCCCAATAAGACTTTTTTCCTCTTATATTTTCATATAGTTGTTATCAGTATAAGGCATTCTAAAGCACTGGAGTTTCTTCTCATTACAAACAATTATAACAATTGGCAAAATACAGAAAAGTACAAAGAAAATAAAAATCACCAATACTCTCTTCACCCAGAGACATTTTGATGTATTTTTTAAAGTTGTCGTTCATACATACATACATACACACACACACATATATACACTGTATGTGTGTAAATATACTTCAGCCTAGGTTCATGCTGATTTTTTTCACTTTATATTAACTTATATTTTTCCATGTCATTATTTTTGCAAATATTTTGCCATTGTTAGTGGCAGAAAAGCTCACTGCATACATTCTCACACTGTATTTAATCAACCTCCTGTTGTTGGACACTTATGTTGTTTCCAAGTTCCTGATGTTATAATTATATTTATGCCCATTTCTGATTATTTCCTGAGGCTAAATTCCCAGAAAAGCATCAACAAAGCCATTAACAGCTCTACAGTAGTTGATAAATGTTAACTTGCTTTATACCTATTTATCCTCCCATCGGCCTAGACAAGGGGCCCATTCAAAATATGACCCCTCCTTCTTTTCTTCTGCGTTGAAAAATGCCAGTTTATTGGTAAAATAGTCTGCCATGTTTTCTTTTACTTTCTTTTCATTACTCATGAGGCTGAATATTTTTTCCTATGTTTGATGGTCACCAAATCTTGTGATTTTAAGATAACCAAAATTGTTATTTTAAATTCCTTTCTCTTAGTACAAAATGTGAGATTATAGATTTCTAGGCTTTAAAAGGTTAGTTCATAGCATTTAAATTCAATAACAAATTTATTTTGGACATGTTAACGCCAAGAAAAGTTAAAATAGAAAAGGTTTTCCTGCTCCCATGCTGTTTCTTCCACCAATTTGACAAATTGCAAGCTGAGCCAAAACATGTCTAATATTCTTAAATTGGGGGTGGTGAGAAGAAGGGAGCAATAAAAGGAAAAATGGATGCCTTGATCCAACAACCTCAAAGTAATCAGATGCTAAATGAAAGCTTTCAGTTCAAATTTAAATGTCAAAAACATCAAACTTGTGTTAACATTTTCCTTACACTATTTTCTGCCTGGCATGATCATATAAGGTTGAGAAGAACTGAAACTATAATCCAAGTTTCATAAATATACTATTTTTATGTGTATAATGTTTTTATGTATAATATATTCCTGATATCTGATAATCTATATTCTCCAGCTTGTTCTTCAATTTTGCCTTAATTAATCTAGTTTCTTTGTTGGTGTTAATTACTGTCAGGTCATTAGCTTTGTCAGTTTCACACATACACAATATTTTTCTGTATAATATAATGTATAAATATTTTATGTAAATGTGATATTTTATGTCTATAATATTGTATATAATATTTTATAGTATTCATGTATATTTTATGCATATATTTTAATGTACAATATATATAGAGAGAGACCATGTGTGCACATACATGTATGTATGTCAGTCAGTCAGTCCCTGGGTGGTGCTCACCTGCTAACCAAAAGGTTGGAGGTCTGAGTCCACCCAGAGGTGCCTCAGAAGAAAGGCCTGATGATCTACTTCTAAAAAATCAGCCACTGAAAACCCTATGGAGCACACTTCTGCTCTGACACACATTGGGTCACTATGAGTCAGAATCAACTTGAAGGCAATATATATATATATATACACATACACACAACATACACACACATAGAGAGAGAGAGAGAGAAACCAAAAAACCAAACCCGCTGCTGCCGAGTTGATTGCAACTCATAGCCACCCTATAGGACAGACTAAAACTGCCCTATAGGGTTTCCAAGGAGTGGCTGGTGGATTCAAACTGCTGACCTTTTGGTTAGCAGCCAAGCTCTTAACCACTGCGCCACCAGGGCTACACACACACACACACACACACACACACATATATATATATTCATCCACAATCATCTAAATTACTGTAATATTCTCCCTACAACCAATTAGTCCTCCATCCTCAAAGTAGATCACGACCTTTCCTGAAAAGTAGCTTATCACCATTTGAGGCCTCTCTTGTGATGGAGGAAGACTGGAATGAGGGACCTCTCAGATTCCTTTAAAGTATGTGTGCATTTAGAAACTTCCAGGGGCATTTCCCTTCCTGGAGGACTGTGGGCAGACAGCATGCTTTGTCCATGATAACAGCTCCCAGTGCATAACACAATAAATTATTTTTTGATAAACTAATTATTCACTAGCACTTCTCTTTGTTCTATATAAGTAGTCTCTATTTTCCTCTTGGATTCAAGGCAAATATTGAGTAATTTTATCTGAAGTTATAACACTAAGTTCTCTCCAGTGAGAATAACATGAATTGCTAAATGAAACCAAACTTAAGTCTTACTGATTTTTGTGGCTATTCTCTAAGATAATTTAATTCAAGTTGATGACATTCAGAAATAGAAAGTTTAGGAAGATTAAAAATAATTACGGAAAGCAAACTATTACCTCTATCTATTAACGATCTCTTCATAAAATTGCAAAGCAGAATATTTTAAACGTCAGGATACACTGGACATATATGGAGAGTCAATAAGTTGAGATTTTATCATTAAATATGGGGTAAGAACTACGTAAGTAATCATCTACCCTTACTGCATCAGCATTGCTATCTCCACAGTAAGGTGACTGTGTTGGCTTAATTAATTAGTACAAGGTGCTAACAAGGTCAGGGTCCTGGATTGCGTCCACGCACAGTCCAGTTCCTTCCCCTGACTACAGCCTCACTGCACGCAGATGGCCCCTTTCCCTTAAAACTTGCTCAGCAAAAGCACTGAACTTCACTGAGTGCTAATGATGTGTTAGGCATGATGCTAAGCACTTTGCACAAGTGAATTCACTTAAATCTTCACAACAATTCTAAGGAAAGCATTGCTATCATTCCCATTCTCTGAATAAGTAAACTGAGGCACCCAAACGGTAAAGATCTGCTCGAGTTTACACATCTAGTAAGTGGCAGGGCCAGGATGTGAATCCAGGCTATCTCACTCCGGAGGCTGCAATCTTGGCCACCATGCTATCTTGCCTTAAAAGAATGAATAAGGTCAATAGAAACCCTAAAACTCAACACAAGTCCACACTGCTGTATGCCAATAACATGTGCCACTTGGAAAAGCCAAGGATCACGCTGTCGCAGAATCTTCAGCAGCTCGATTTAAGGGAGCCAAGGAGGGACTGATTTGATTGTTTTCTTTACCTCTGACAATCAAACAAAGCCAAACTGAAGTTCACTTTCAAAATACGTAATAAAAATGCCAAAGTAACAAAAAGGAAACCTTCTAATGAAAATTTTAATTCTATTTAATTCTGTGGTATGATTAATCTTTATCAACTTTTATTTATTATGACATAGCATTAAAATCAATAGTATCTGATCATAGTTATTGTGCTGCCTTCGCGTCAGCCCGAGACTCATGGCAACCTCGTGCACAATGGAAGGAAACATTGTCCAGTCCTCCATCATCCCCTATGATCGGTTGTGGACCAGAATGTTGTGATCCATACAGTTTTCACTGGCTAATTTTCAAAAGCAGATCATGAGGCCTTTCTTCCTAGTCCATCTTCGTCTGGAACATCTTAGTGTGGAAGCTCCGCTGAAATCTGTTCTGCATCAGAGCAACATGCAAGCCTCCTTTGCCAGACGGGTGGTAGCTATGTGTAAGGTGCACTGGTCAGGAATCAAACATGAGTCTCCAGCACAGAAGTCGAGAATTCTATCACTGAACCACCAATGTCCTCTAGTATTTGACTAAGTATATAATA